GTTTCCGGTGTCGTTGCCAGTATCGTTGCCAGAGTCGTTTCCGGTGTCGCTGCCAGAGTCGTTGCCGCTGTCGCTACCAGTATCACCACCAGCATCATTGCCGGTATCACCACCCGCTTCCTCGCCGCCGGCATCGCCGCCGGCATCACCCCCGGCATCACCCCCGGCATCGCCACCGGCATCATTCCCGGCATCACCACCAGTCTCCTCGTCTCCAGAACCGCTGCCCGAATCCTGCCCAGCATCCACCTCCTTCTTCTTGTCCTTTTTCTTGTCCTTCTTCTCCTCAGCGTCACCCCCCTGCTCCTCTTCTTGCCGCACAGCAACGGCACGCACACAGTGGCTGTACCACGCATCGACGGCCACGCAGGACGACCCGGCTTCGCACGAGGTCTCACCGGTCCAGCCAGATCTGCAGCATCCAGTCGTCAGCTCGGTTCAAAACGCGGGAAGACCCTCCCACGAGGACGAGGGCTGCGAAAGACTCACCCGCCACATTGGGCGTCGAGGGGCGCCTGCGCAGCGACAACGTAGGCGCTCAGCGCGGAGATGGAGAAGAGAACGGCAGTCTTCATGCTGACGGTTTTCTTCGAGGCAGGTCTTAGTTGTGGGAAGATTCGAGATGCAATCTCGAGAAGAGTGTGAGAAAAGAAAAGAAAGGGGAGTTGAAGATGTCGAGGAGACAGAGAAAGGAGAGAGAGAGGTTGCTGTGAAGAACAAGGCCCAACATCTTCAAGACGCGACGTGCCATGCTTCTTATACAAGATCAATCTTCGACCCAAGGCTCAACAAGCCTGGCACTGCAGAGTGAAGACGACGAAGGGCTCTGCCATTGTGGCCACGCGCCGTTGATGGCCCCCGTTCGAGATAGAGGACCGCCGCCAGGATGCCGTGGAACATGGCGTCCCGAGTGCCATGCTGCGAGCGTGAAAGAAAAGGGCCAGGCCCATGAAGAACATGGCCCACCAACCCGCGGCCAGGGAGGTCCACAGCCCACGCCGACGACGGACGATGCGCCATGTGCGATGCCCGATAGACGAGAGACGATGCCTAGACTGGCGATGCCTGGACAGACGATGCGCCGCACAGCCCCCTCATCATCTACCCGAAGGGCAGATCCCATCAACCAGCAACATGGCCATGCGTCGATCCAGATCCAGATGGCAGCTCCTTCTTGCCCCCCCTCCCCGCCAGCCGCAGGGGCCATTGTATCGCTCACAGCCGCAATTAACCTCGATCTCGCGACCAGCGTTGACCCCCGTTCGTACATCTCCACCGCATTTTCAGGGCATCTGGCCTTGTGAATCAAAAGGTAACGCAGTGCAGCGCAGCGCAGGGGTGGCACGGTGTCGTCCGAGATCCCGTCCTCTGATCGTAGCCCACCACACGACAAAACGTCTCAATGCAACGCCTCCCCACACACACATGCTCATCAACCTCCAACAACCAGCACCTGGCTAGCACCCCACACGGCCGACTCCCACGATCGCCCCCGGCGGCAGATTCATTGCCAGCCAGCCAGCCAGCCAGCCAGCCAGCCAGCCTTCTCTTGTTTCTCTTGGGATCTCTCCGTATCCCGAAGATGGAAAAGGGAAAGCAAGCCAGAGCCCATGCACGCGGCAATCGATCCTGACTAGCGCGCCGTTTCATGATCCCAAGCTTCGTCGGAGGGGGTGGTGCCCAAAAGTGTGGCGAGGACAGACCAATTTCTGTCTTCCCCGAGACAGTCCTGCGTGCACCATTACCCGACCATTCTTTTTCATCCTTTTGGTGCCGGTGTGGTCAGTCACACACACACACATACACCAAGCCCCCCTCCCCCTCCCTCTCGGTGCGTGTTTCTTATTCTCTTGTGGCGACAGTCTAGTTTCCAGGGCTCCCCAGTTTTTCAAGACGACCACGGGTCCATGCTCGGGGACCGCATATCGGGCATGAAGAACACTCGTCGCAGCGACACAGAAGACGGGACGGCCGTCTGATGTTGTTGTGTCAGTCATGCCCATGCCGCCCATCTCTCCCTTCCTGTCATTGATCATCATGATGAGGCAAAGCGAGGAGACGAAGGCAAAGCTTGGTAAATTCATCACTCACTTGTCAGCTCGCCAGCTGCTCATGCCTTGGGTCTTCGGATGAAAATGTTTGTGTCCGATTGATCGATTCGTTCCTCAACGGGTTGGTCGGCGCTTGAACTTGAGACGGAGGAAATGTGAGACCATTAGTCGCGACCGAGAGAACATTGTCGACCTCCACCGGCCTGTATCGCACGTCAGATAGACAGAGACACCATCCAATAACAGTCGCGAAACAACCTCGATTAAGTATATGAGAAAAAAAAAGAAGAAGACAAGCCGCCTCTCATGTTGCATCCCACATTGTAGTCGGAAAACCTCATGACCATTCGTCCATCCATTCCTCCAATTCCTGTACGGCCGCAGCCGCACAGTTACCTCCTTTTGGCCCTTGGGCCCTTTGGCCACCTTGCCCACTTCCTCTCCTTCTACCTCTCCTCTCGAACTCTTTGCGGTGAAAAGCGGGAAATCAAGAAAACAGGGGGAATCATAAAAACGAGACGACGAATGACCAAGCCGTAGCATAATTATGCGCGAGAGTGTGAGTGTGTTATGTTTTTGTGTTCGCACAAGCCAAGACGTAGGAGGGGTGGCTTTTCCTCAATCCGGAGACAAAACTGCACAACCAATCTAATCCTTCGAGTGCACCTTGCTCTTGAGCTTGCCAATGAAGGCGCTGAGGCGGTTCTTCTTCTTCTGCTCGGTGCCCTTCTGGCTGCTGGTGCTGGGCGTCGTGGTCGAGCCAGATGCCTCTGCCTTGGCGGGCGTGGCGGGAGACTCCTGTGTCGTCTGCTTCACGGGCTCGGCCGGCGCAGCGGCATTGGCGCCGTTGGGAAGAATATCGCCCTCCTTCGTCGGGACAGCCTTGGACTCCTCGGCCTTGTCCTCCGCAGCGGCCGTCTCAGTCTTGGCCTCGGTAGCGGGCGCAACAGACTCAGGTTCGGACTTGACGGCAGCCGACGTGGTAGACGGACCGTCGGTCACGACTGGGGTCGGGGCGGTGTGCAGAGCGGGGTTGCTGGCGGCGGGGACATCGTCAACCTTGGGAGCAGATGGTGTGATGGCGGCAGGTGCGGCAACGGCGGCAGCAGCGTCTTGCTTGACCTCCTCGGTGACCAGAACAGGGGCGGCACCGACGGCAGAATCAGTCTTGACCTCCTCCGTCTTCGACTTGTCCTCGCCGACGGCGGGAATGGCCTTGACCTCCTGCAGCAGCTCGGACTCGACGGCAGCCTTGTCCTGAACAGCAGAGGTGCTGGCGGCAGCCTCGGGGGCCTTGCCGGCCTCGATGATGGACTCCTTGACCTCGCTGGGGACTGTGGGGGCGACCTCCTGACGGACATCCTCCCGGGCCTGGCTCTTGATAGTTTCCTGGACCGACTCAGGAAGCTTCTCCTTGACAGCCTCAGGGAGGTTGGTGGCGGCACCGGCGGCGGCGACGGAGGCCTGGTTGGCGGCGTCGGTGGCCGTCTCAGAGGCCGAAGTGGCGGCGGGCTCGGCCTTGCCAATAATGGCGTCCTTCGCAGCAACGGCAGCGGCGAGCGCGATGCCGCCAGCAGTGATGGCAGTAGCGGCGATGCCGGCGTTCTCGGACTTCTGGGTGCCGAAGCCGGCGGTGCCCTCGGACGTCGAGGGGGCCTCGGGGACCTTCTCCTTCAGCTCATCCTCGACGGTAGCCTTGTCGATGACCTCCTTGGGGTCAGCGCTGGCCTCGGGGTCAACACCGGCGGCCTTCTGGCTCTCAACGACAGCCTCGGGAACCTTGGCGTCGAGCGCGGCGGCGTTGACGGTCTTGGGCACGTTGGCAGCGAGAGCGGCGGTGGTGGCCTCGGGAGTCACCGTGTTGATGGTGGTCGTGTCAATGCCGGCAGCAATGGCAGCAGCGGGCATGGGCAGGCTGGACTCGGGAATGTCGGCGCCGGTGGTGCTAGGCAGGGTAGAGTTTGCCTCGGTCAAACCGGGCAGGCGGTCGCTCTTCTCGTACGACTCCTTGTCGAGAGTGACCTGGGAGTGAATATCACCGGCATGGGCGGAAGGGGGGAGAGGCTCGCCGGGAGCAATGTTGGGCTGGGGCTTGGTCACATCGCTCGCGGGCAGAGGGTTGACGCTGATGGTCTTGTCGAGCTCGTCGACGGGCGTCTGGGGGAAGCCGCCAATGGCATGGACGGGGGTGGCCTTGGGCTCCTCCTCGCTCGCCTTGGAGTTCTCGAGAGGCACGTCCTTGGCCAGGGCGGCCGTGGTAGACTCGGGAGTGATGGTGTTCATGATGGCGGCGGTGGGGTTCTCCTTCACAATCTGCTCGGGCGTCAGGAAGTTGTTTACGTTTCCTTCGTGATCAGGCTCTTGCGGGGCCGTGTGGTCGGTGATCCAATTGTTGTCGACGACGAACTGGGAAAAATTCAGGTCAGCAAAGGGGGGGGATGTTCTGAAAGGGTTGTTATGAGATCAAAGGCAGAACAGCCGAATAAGTGAGGTCAGAATGAAGCAAAGTCCCAGAAAGACGACGAGTAAGGATGACGCGGCGCGGAATGGCTGGGTTAAATGCAGAGGTCTCGTGTTGACGGCGTGGTGTCTGCAGGGGCCTTGCGTCGCTCCACAGAATTTGGCGAACCTGGATAATCTTGGTTTGTGGTCGCTTGCTGGTTGCCTTGGGATCTGTCTTGTCTTCGTGGAGCTTCTCACCGCTTCGACACTAGCCGCAATCTCCCAGGGTTGGAGCCGATTGAGGGGTTGCGTCATAAGCGGACCGGGATGTTCGGTCAGACGCATCAGACGCAAGCAGTCAGGCGGGCCAAGCTGCCCCTGGCCCTGGCGTTTCTAGCCCTGCGTGCCTGGATGCCTGCCTGCCAGTCGTTGGACGAGGGAGAGACGGCTGACCTAGCAGTCTGGGGAAAAACGAGCAGTTTGCGTCCCGTGACAAGAGGGATGGAAAGACAGCGCATCGCCGGGGGCCCGCTTGTCGCTCTGTTTTGCATCGGCGCCTGGAAGCTAGCGAGCGCAGCGGCGCAGGGCCAAAGTTGCAGTCGGCGTTTGGAGGCCGAACCAAACCAAACCAAGCGAAGCGACAGGCGACGGGGGGGTTGGACGGCGCTGATGCACACAGGTGGCTTGGGGCTGGCGAGACCCGATTGTGCTTCCGCATGCGGGTTTTCCTGGCGCCGCACAGGGCCTTTGATCGCAGCCCGGCGCTTCGGTGCCTCGATTTTTTTTTTTTTTTTTGATGTGCTCAGGAAAACGGAGAGCGAGCGTGAGGTAAGGAGAAGAGGGGGACATGACAAGATGCAACGTGTGCAAGGAACAGCGGTGCGACAGACAGGAGACGCAAGTCAACGTACCTTGTAGTAGATCTTCTTGGAAGCGTCGGGGAGAGTAACGTCCTTCTCGAAGGAGTCGCCGACCTTGCTGAGCTTCTCCGACTTGGTCCAGTTGTCGAAGGTGCCGGTGACATAGACCTCTTTCGGCGGGATGGCCCCTACAAGTACGAAAAAAGAGCGTGGTCAGCCAGG